GGCCTCCTGGCTTCTTCCCTCGGCTCAGACCCTCCCGGCCCCGTCTCCGCCAAGGTAGGCTTGGGGCCGGCCTGGCCCCCCAGTGCCAGTCACCAGCTTGGGGTCCTGCCCTGGTTGGGGCCACCCAGGGTGCAGAGCCCTCTCCTCACGGCCTGCCACCTGGTGCCCCCGGGGCAGTCGCGGCAGACAGGCAGGCTGGTGGCCAGGCCAGTGCCGGGAGGCCGTGCTGGCGAGTGTCCCGATGGGACTTGGGCAGGGAAGACCCCCCCCGCTTCACGGCACACTGGGGAACCATCTGCCCCAGGAGGGCTGAGGGGCAGCCCACGGGGCCCTGGGCCGGGTGCCCACTGGGCGGGAGCAGACAGGCTCCGACGCCATGGCCTGCGGCCCTTCGACCCCGCAGAGCTCTCTCCGCTTCCTGCTCAGCGGGGTCCAGCCATGTCCAGGCCCGCAGGTCTGGTCTGGGCCAGCCTGGAACCAGCTTTCTCCACTCCCCTCACCAGCACGGGGCCCAGAGGCGGCCTTGGCCCCCTGGCTCCCCCCGGCCGCCTGCAGGGCACCTGAGTCCTGGACATCGGGAGTCCATGTCCCGTGCAACGCACCTGCCAGTGCTGTCCACCCGCGTGGCTGGGCTCCGGAGGCCGGAGGCTGCCTGGCCCTCTCGCCCTCCGGGGGAGGGGCTGGTCTGGGGGACTCGCCGCGAGGGAGGCGGGGGGTGTGCATGCGTGCAAGCCCGTGCGTGCAGGCACGCTGATGGCTGAGAGAGGGCGGAGGGGAACCCGACTGGTGGCCCCTGTCCCTGCCGACGCCCCTGGAGGAGAAGGAGCGCGAGGAGATTGACGGAGAGGTGACTAAATCTCCGACGCTTGCACGGTCCCAGCAGACGGGCAGGTAACCGTGCTCGGTGCCCCGAGTTCGCCCAGAAATCCTGCCGGCGGCTTTTGCCCAGACCAGCCCCGCGTGACATGTGTGACCTCCCCGACGCCATGCCCGAGGCAACAGAGGCCCCGACACGCACACGGCCCGCAGGGCGCTGAGGGCACCGCAACCTGCGGCTGGTGGGAGACCCTCACGCGGAAGTGCACCTGCATCGCCCGGGAAGGGGTCCTGGGCCAGGATGCGTGCCCCCTCCCCACCTGGTCCGCGCCTGGCTCCCCGGGGGTTCCCCAGCCTCACCGGGACCCGCCGGGGCCTGCCTCACACTCTGGGCCCACCAGGCCCCTGGCGGGACCCCCACAGAACCCCACTGCGTCTCCCTGGGAACACAGCCCTCGGCGGGCTCCCCGTGGCCCCCAGACTCAGAGCCCACCGTGGCCGAGACCTCCCGGCGCCCTGGCTCTTCCAGCCACCCGCCGACCCGAGGGCCATGGGTGCTTCCGGGAGAGCCTCTGGGCAGGGTGCCTTGGAGGGCTGGCATGGCGAAGATGGAGGGCTCCGGGCCGGGAGCGGCGCGGCGGGCTGCTGTAGGTTCTGGGTGACATTCTCAGGAAGGCCATCCCGGGGCTGGGGGCCGGGGGCCGGGGGCTGGAAAGAGGGCCGGGGTGAGGCCGCTCTCCGGGCCGCTGATGGGTGCTCCTGGAACGAGGGGGGGCGCCTGGACCACGGTGGTCCGTGGACCTCAGACGTCACATCAGGTGTCAGCTGACTTCAGAGCGAGGGGGAACGTGATTCGGGGGTCAGACTGAGGGTTGGGAAAAAGCATGGCCTCCCGGGAGGAGCCCAGAGCACGGGGGTCTGCGCAGGGTGGGAGCACCTCGGGGTGGGGTGCTCCTCCCAAGGGACATGAGGTGCCCCAGGGCGGGCGGCCAGGTGAGAGCGACGGGCTGGGCGCAGACCCGCAGAGCGTGGCAGAGGGAGCCACAGGCCCGTCTGGAGAGAGAAGGTTCTAGAGGCAGAGCAGCCCCTCCCAAGGGGCTGCTGGCGTGTGGATGGCATGTGGAAGTCTCCCCCTCGGGCAGAAGGAGGGCCAGGTAGGTGGCCGGAGGAGGCAGATGGAGAGAGAAGTCGGGGTGCCTGGAGGCCAGGAGGGCAGGATAAAGCTCCACCGTGACCTCTGTTCCGCGGTCCCCAAGGCTCCCACAGCCAGGACAGCTGTTCGCCCCGGGGCCCGCGCCCGCCACCTGCACACTCGGGCCCTGCTTGTCCCCCGCCTGCGTGCCCGCCACTCTCGGGCCCCGGGGGTGCGGTGGCGGCCGAGCCCTCGGGGACTGGCGTGCAGTGGAGGGAGACGGCAGGAAGCAGGGGTCCCTCTGAGGCCGACAAGGGCTCCCCGAGGGTTTCTCCTGCGCGTGTGCTGGCCCCACCCCCGCCGCCCACGCAGGAGCCGGGGAGGTGGTGGGTTCGGTCGGGCGTCCAGGGGATCCAGGGGCCGGCCCATGGGTGTCCCCGCGTGGAGCCACAGCTGGTGATGGGGGTGGGGTCCTGGGGGCTTCATGGGCCAGGAGAATGCTTTCTGATTCGGTGCTGGCTGAGACAGCGCAGAGGGTCCCCAGGGTGAGGGACATGATCCCCCCCAAGTCTGGAGATGTGCTGGGGACAGCAGGGGAGACAGGAGCGGGGAGACGGGCCGGGCGGCGAGGGGGCTGGCACTGGGGTGGCCCCCCAACCCCGGTGGGAGCCCAGGGTTCCGGAGCAGTGTGGGTTGTGGGGGGAAGACAGGGGAGTCCAGAGCGCGCCACGCGGCCACCCTCCCCGGGGCCGGGCTCCGGCCCCCCCAGAAGGAGTGTGCCAGGGCCGGGGGCTCAGACACCGACACCCGCTCGGACCTCCAGCTTCTCTGCCCAGTCCCCCGGCCCCTCCTCCCGGCCCAGCTTCCTGCCCCCAGAGCTGGTCTGAGCCTCCCTCTGCGACACCCACACTTGTGCCACCGTCCTTCCGGCCAGGGTCCCAGCCCCGCTCCCCCGGGGGCGGGGTGCCGCTGTGGAAGCCGCCCCTGGGTGGTGCTGCTGGCTCCGGGCACTGGGGCATCCACCCTTGACCTGCCCTGCTCCGCCCCCTTCCTAGACCTGCGACTCCTCCGGCCAGCATCATGCACCCTGTTCACCCCAACGCCCTCTTGCCTCTGACCCTGCTTTCCTCCACCGCCCAGGGGTCCGGACCTCCATCCGCCCAGCCCCTCCTCCTCGGGTCCAGCCCTCGGAGCCTGAGCAGGCTGGCATTACCGTGCTCTGGCGGGCGCCTTGCCCATTACCCACCTTGGCAAGGCCCTGGAGTAGCACGTGGGGTTTCCTGCTGTGATCGGGCGCCGGGTTTCCCCCATTCCGGTCATCGTTCCTGGCGAGACCGGGGACCGGGGGGCCTCCGCACAGGGGCTGGGGCCGGAGCAGCTGCCAGACTCGGCCTCCCCGCCGTCCTGAGGCCGGGGGCCGGTTTACCCCTTTCAGGGGCCTGCCGCCCTGACACTGAGTAACTCTTGGTCAGTTGCAACTCTGCTCCCCGAGTTCCGAGCCCAGCCCAGACCAGCACCCTGCTGGGTGGGTGCACCTCAGGAGACAGGGGCTCAGAACGGGCGAGGACAGCTGTTCAGGGTGCCGCGGTGGCAGACGGGGGGTGGGGGGGAGCTATGTGCGCAGAGGGGTAGAGGGGGCTGGGGGCTGTGCGAGCAGCGCCCACCTGGGCGGGAGGCCACGGGACAGCATCGGCATGTGCGGGCGCAACCTGCACGTTTGGGGAGCGAGGGCGTGGGGAGGTCGGTTACGGGGAGGTCAGCAGAGGGCAGTGTGGACCCCGGATGTGGAGCGGGGGCCTCCGTGCTTGAAGGTGTCAAGAAGGGCGGGCGAGGGACTTCCTGGGCGCGGTGCCGCCGTGCAGGTAGGAATGCGGGCTGGGTGGGGGCTGGGTGGGGGCTGGGCTCCTTGCCCGCCTCCAGGAGAGCCGGCCGGCCGGGGAGAGCAGGGGTCCAGAGGAAGGGGCTCCCTCTCTGCCCGGCCCCGCTGTGTGCTCTTGGGCTGTGAGAAGGGACGAGAGACAGAGACGGGGGTGGGGTGGGGGGCTTCCCCGGGAGGGTAGGGCCGCCAGCCCTCGGGGGTTAGCGTTTGTTTCATTTGGCCGCCCGTTCGCCTCGCCTCTCTACGGGAGAGCTGGCCTGCGGCAGCCACTTCCGGGAGGCCCTGGGGCAGCCCCGGCCGCGTCCCCAAGCCTCTCTGCTCAGCCAAGCGCCTCTCCCGGCAGAAGCTCTCGTAGCCCCTGCAGACCCTGAAGGTTTGTCGAACCCTTGCTTCTTTCCAGAAGGTTGCGGTGCTCACACGGGCGCTGAGCCAACTGTGTGATTAAAATAGAAACCGTCGGGAAACTTCAAGTCCCCTCAACAGGGCCGGCCCAGGTGCCGGAGGGGACTGCCCACCCGCAGCTGGCAGGGGGGAGGAGGCCCTTTGCCTGCTGGAGTCTGGAGCCTGGGGTAAGAGCCCGGGGTCTCTGGCGTCCCGGGAGAGGCTGGAGCTCGGGGTAAGAGGCCAGCAGGATGGGGGGCCACGGGGCTGGGGGGTCCTGGGGCCACCCCGCTCGGCCCCCGTTCTGATGGGCCGGGCCCAGGGAGGAGAGGGGGCAGCTGCTCTGGGCACCTCCAGCTGTTTTCGCATTTCCCAGTGGCGCCCCGCCTCAGGGTGGGGAGGCTAAGTTTGTCCCTTGCGGCCTGTGCTCGGTGCCCCCACCCCTGCCCGGCGCAGGGCCCGGGGCGTGGGCTGCCACCAGAGGGTGCTGGGCAGCCTCAGCCACAGCCACCCTGTGGGGGCTCTGCGGGGGCCCCGGTCTTTCCCCAGGAGGGCCAGGGCGCAGTCCCGGCCCAGGGTCCTGCCCCCCACCCCGATTGGCCAGCCGGGACCGAGGGCGGCCCCGGTGCTTCCCCGGGAGAAGGCGGGAAGGGTGGGTCACAAAGGGCGCTGCCCTGCATCCAGGAGGAAGGCCTGGCCCCACCCCATGGGCAAGAGCCACCGCCGTCTCAGGGGCTGCAGAGCCCCCCAGCAGCGAGGGCCCCGGGAGGCCGGCTCTGAGCGTCCCGATGGCCTCGGGCTGGGCACCGCCCGGGGAAGATGGCTGCCCATCACCGTGGCCATTCGACATGCCCACCCAGGTAGGGGACTTCTGGGCGCTGTGGCTGTGGGCCCCTGGAGACAGGGCCCCAGGGCCGAGAACAAGGCCCTGGGGTCCCCTCCTGCGACGATACCGTTTACCTGCCACCTCGGCCTTGAGGCCACTGGGGTCTCACTGGGAGGAAAGGGAAGCGAGTGGAACTTCTGGCCAGGGCGCAGCGGTTGCAGGGCTCAGAGGACTGGCGCGGGGCTGCCGGGCCGGGTGGGGCCCTGTGGGCCTTTTCTCTGCCGGCAGGACAGACCGGCCCCTCCCTGAACAGGAGCCCCCTCGACCACGGTGAGAGGGTCCGCTGCACAGCAGGTGCGAGGGGTTGTCCCCATGGACGGGGTGTCTCTTGGGAGCCCTGGGGAGGGACAGGCACAGCGGACAAAGACGCAGGAAGCCCCGACAGCCTGCCTGTGGGTCACACAGCCGCAGGGGTGCCGGTGGTGGGGACAGCACCGGGGCCTCCTGGGCCAGAGGCAGGCAGGACAGGACAGCAGCTCCCTAGAGGGGCTGTGGCCGGGCCTGGCCTAGACGGAGGAGGGCGGGGTGGGCAGAGTGGGCGGGCCAAGGGCGAGGTGGTCCCCAGCTGAGGCGCCTGGAGATGGGGGAGGACAACAGGGAGGAGGCACGTGGGGACGGGGCAGGGGCTCCCGGGAGGCCCTGGCTCTGGCTGGGGGGCTGCAGGGACAGGCTCAGAGGGTGGGGGGAGCTGTGAAGGAGGGTCCTCAGGTCTCCGACCCCCACCTGGAGCTGAGGGGCCCCCGGGGTGGGGCGCTGAGCGGCGCGCCCTCCCCGGCTCGCCGGTGGCGACGTTGGAGGGCAGATCTATCAGAAGCCGTTGGGCCGGGACTTCCTGTCCGACGCCCTGAGTCACCCGGGGGCTCAGTGGAGTGTGAATCCACGTGCCAGCTGGCGCCGCGCACCCCAGCCCCGCGGGAGCTCGCGGGGTCCTGGTGGCCGCAGCCACCGGGCAGGGAGGACCCTCGGGCCGCCGGCCCCAGCACTCCCCCCAGGTGACAAACACGGGCTGGAAACTCCTTGAGTTGAAATGGGTTGGAGGCCCGGCCCGTGGGACCTGGGGACAGGCCGGGCAGGGTCAGTGATGCGGCGACTCCAGAGTCCCGAGTTTGGGGATAGACTTGGGGGCAGAGGCCACAGGCCCTGTGAACACGGAGTCTGCTGACCCCACGGAGTCTGCTGACCCCACGGAGCCTGGCCACCGCAGACCATCCCACCCTCACCAAAGCCCCGGAGATGGGTCCCACCTCAGCTCCTGCACCCGCCTGCCCGCTGGCCCGCAGGTGCCCCGCCCCCGAGCCAGCAGCTGCCAGGCTGTGTAAAATGTGGGACTTCCCCTCCTCCCTCCTGGGCTCTGGGGGCCGCGGGGGCCCCCCCCCCGGGTCTGAGGTCTGCAGGCGTGTTCCCGGTGCTGGCGGCAGAGGCTGCTGAGAGCCAGGGTGGGGGACTCGGGCACGGACATTTTCAGGCTGGCTGAGGGAGTGCTCGGGGCCCTGGCGTGCAGCTCCCCGCCCCGGCGTCAGGCCCCTGAGAAGCACCGCAGCCTGTGCCGGCGCCCCGCTCCCTCTCTCGGCCGAGCGACATTCCGGCCCGTGGACCTGCCGCGGTTTGCTCCTCCGTCCCCGGAGCGCGCTGGGGCTCTTCCCGGTCCTTAGGAACAGTGTCACCAGGATGGGGGATGGGTTGTCGCCGTCCACTCGCAGTGTGACCTTGGTCGAGGTGTTTGCCGTCTCTGGGTTCGGGTGGCCCGCTGGCAACGTGCAAGGGGTGGGCCAGATGTCCCAGGCCGGGCGCCCTGCCCACGCCGAGGGGCTGTCCTGACTGGCTGCTGCTCCCCCCGGGGGTCCGGCCGGGCAGCGGGCGAGGAGAGCTTGCTCAGCCCCAGCTGTGCGGCTGCCTCGCTGCCTCCCGAGTCCGCCCCACTCTGGATTGCCCGGGGCCCGGGCCCTGCCCCGCACTCTGCCCCACTGGGCTGTGGACGGCCTGGGCCAGCTTGGAGTGACTGCCCAGCGCAGGTATGCTCACGGGTGCCGGCCGGCCGGCCCCTCAGGAAAACCTCGGGGTGGTGTGCTGTAGGTTTGTTGGCTTGGGGGGCAGGCGCGACTAAGTCAGCTTCCACCCTGAGAAAACCACTTGGCCGTTTCCGTACGTAGAGCCGTGCTGTGTGACCTCGGCAGGCCGCTTAACCTCTCTGAGCCTGCAGGAGAGCTGGTGTGTGGCCAGCCCTGTCTAAGCTGCTTGTCCCGGGCCCCCTCGCTTAACCATGCCTTGGTCCTCGGGCCTCCCCCTACCTGTGCCCGCCCGGTCCTTGTGGTGGCCCTCAGAGCTCATGCCGTGGTCCAGGGACCGGACGCCCGGCACGTGGCGGCCCTGGGGGCAAGCCGCAGGCCTCCATCAGCGCCTGGCTGCTTGGGGGCAAAGTGACAGGCTGCGGGCGCTCTCTCCCTCTGCCGATGGCTCCGGGCAGGTCCAGGCCTGCCTGCTCGGGCACTGCCAGGCTGTGGCTGGACCGATTCCCACGGCCCTGCTCCAAGGACCGGGAGGCGTTACCTCGGCCTGGGTGGGGGCAGGGGTTTCCTGCCCTCCCCCCGCCCCCCCTGTGGGGCCCGGGGCTCCAGCGGAGCCCAGTCTGGTGCCCGGTGGCAGAGGCTGCTTTGAGGTGGGACCTGGGCGTGGAAGATCCCGGGAGAGGCACCAGTGTGGACCCCAACCCTCCAGGCATCTCCCACGATGGGGGAGCTGCCGGGGATTCTTGGCCTGGGTGGGCTTCCTTGGAGGGCCGGCGCTGCTTTCGCATCCGAGTCTCGGGGTGGCCCCCTGGGAGGGGTGAGGCCGTCTGCAAAGGGAACAGAGACGTGCAGACCAGGAGCTGGGCTCCTGCCGCCCGCGGGCCCCCACGCGCTGCCCCCACACCCTGGGGCGGCGGGCACCACCCCCAAGCCTGGCTCCTGACCCGGGCCACATCTGGAGGCGAGTTTGCAGTGCCAAGGACCCTGTGCCTCTGAGCACCGACGATGACCAGTGGCCAGACCCCGCCCAGGCAGAGTCCCCGTGGCAGCCCCCCCCCCCAAGTGGGGACGCTGCCGCGGCCCCCGCCTTGTGCGCGGCACTCTGAGACGGCCCTGCGGTCCAGGGCGCCCCCGGCCACGTCGGAAGCCAGGCCCGACCTCCGCAAGGCTGAGCTCCCGCCCTCTTGCCTGAACCGGGAGGGGGCGGGCCGTGTCCTCGCGTGTCGCCGGTGGCCCTGCCTGCCCGTCCCCGAGGATGCTGGGAGAGGCGCGCACCGGTGTCGTCCCAGAGCACTCACTGTCCCCCTTTCTCCTCCAGGGCCAGCTGCTCTCCGGGCCCGGTGTGGGGATGATGGCCCGGCCCGCCGCCACCGATGAGGGGGCCACGTTCGAGAACCTCTGGAGCTGCCTGTGAGTGTCTCCTCGGAGCCGCCTCAGCCCGGCTCGGGCCTTCTCCTGGGGTCGCGGGGTCACCCCAGCCCCAAGGAGGCGGCACGACAGGGGAGGAGGCGGGGGGGGGGTGGTGAGCTGAGGCTGCCAGGGACGCGGGCTGAGGACTCCCCGGGGCAGGAGGGGGGCCCCTGCAGTGGGCGGGGGCTGGCCCCGAGCTCTGGGCTGGACACACCGGGGCTGACGGCCCGGCCCCCTCCCCCAGGGAGCCAGACAGCACCTACTTTGACCTTCCCCAGTCGGGCCGGGCGAGGAGTGAGGAGGCGGGCGGTGTGGAGGCCAGCATGGATGTCTTCCACCTGCCGGGCATGGCCGACCCGTCTGCCATGGTGAGTGGGGTGCCTCTGGGGAGGACTCGGGGTGCGGGGAGCACACGTGGCCTATCCTGACCCGGGAGCACGTGGAACTGGGGAGCGAGGTGTCAGCTCCCAGCTTCTTCTGTGGGTTTGCCAGCTCATTCCAGGTACAAAAGAGAAGATGTATCAGTGCACAGTCCAGGGGTGGGGATGGGTTCAGGCACAGCTGGATCCAGGTGTCGGAGTAGCCGCAGGCCTTGCCCTGCCTTCCCCATGGTGGCTCTGCTCTAAGGCGGCCTCCTCCTGTGCTGAGGGGCACAGGGTCCACCAGCACCAGCACCAGCTCCAGATGGGGCGGGACCCCTCTGGGCCCGTCACCCGGCAGGCTGCCTCTCACTGGTCTGAACTTGGTCATGTGCCCATCTCTGAGCACCCCTGTGATCTGGGGGGCCCGGCTCCCCTGGAACAAGTTGGGATGGGATGGTTCAGAGGGCACTGGGCCTGTGACCCCTCCCTAAAGCCCCCCTTCCGGAAATAGGAGCCTCTCCTCGAACACACACCCTTACGAGGTGCCTTGGGCATCTGGGCTGTGGGGGCTCCAACTGCATGGACGAGCCAGGGTGGAGCGGGGCTGGGGGGGAGGCAGGAGGGCCCCCGTGTCCTCTGCCTATGTCTGTCTCAATGCTGGGGTGGCCCAGGGCCTGCCGGCCCCCATAGGGCTGGCAGAGGGGAGCCGCTGGGGCAGGCAGGCCCAGGGCGGGGGTCTCTGCTGTGCAGCAAGCCCCCACGACGCCCAGTCCTCTGAGGACCCTCAGACTAGACCTGAGGCTTCTGGCCTCCTGGCCCGGCCTCTGGCCTCTGCTCAGGGGCCATCATGGGGGAAGGAGCTTGTCTGGGTGGAGCGCCTGCTGTGTGTCCACTTTACGGGCGAGGAAACCGAGGCAGACGCTGGAGGCAAGGACGGGCCTCGTGTCGCCCGCGAGCAGGGTGGGGAGGGGGAGGGGGCGTCCTCTCCCTCGGGGATATTCTCCGTGCTGCCAGCTGCTTCCCAGGGGCCAAGGGTCCTGGCCCTCCCGCCCCCTCCTGGACACGGGCCCCCGAGGGTTCCTGTTGCTCTCACCCGTGGGTGGGGATGCAGCCGGCCTCAGCGACACCCCGAAGACCTTTCCCTTGCGGGGCCCGTGCTGCCGCTGGACCCGCCCTCGGGGTCGTCCGGTGCTGCCGCCGCCGGGAAACGTCAGTGGGACCGAAGAACAGGGCCGCCGCTCGCAGGGCCCGGCGGGCTGCTTGGTCTGACCCCTCAGGCCTGGAGGGGACAAGCAGGGCCGCTGGGGCGGGCAGTCGTCTGGGTGGGCCCCGGGCTGTGGGAAAGGGGACCCCGTGGGAGAGGCGGCCTGGCTGCCTGCCTGTGCAGCTGGCGGTGTGTGAGTGGTGTTTAAGAAGATTCTATTTGTGTGTTTTTAAAGAGAGGGGAATGGAGGGAGGGGAGGGAGAGAAACAGTGACGCGTGGTTGTCTCTTGTGCGTCCCCCAGGGTTGTGGGGACCTGGCCCACAACCTAGGCGTGTGCCCTGAGTGGGAATCGGACTGTGACCCTTTGGTTCACAGGCCAGTGCTCAGCCCACTGAGCCACGCCAGCCGGGGCAGACTGTGTGCGTTGAGGGGTGGAAGTCTTTGCAATGGCTGCCTGGCGATCGCGGGCTTAAGGTTAGGTGCTTTCGTTACAGTCAAAGAAGTGAATTGTCAGGCGCTCCCCCTGTGTCCCCTCTACGGGACAGGCTATGGGACCGGAGCTGCCACGGGGTCCAGGGTGGGGAGAGGGGCCCCCGAGCGCTGCCTCCTGGGAGTTCTGTCCCCAGAGTTCTGCAAGACACTCTCACCCAGCCACCTGGCTCGCCACGTGGAGGGCACAGGGGTGGGGGGCGACCCAGGGTCAGGAGGGGTCCTGCCTTTGGGGAGGCAGAGGAGCCGGCGCTAGGTCCCAGTGGGTGGGGTGTGTGCCCCCCACCCCCAGGGTGGAAGCCGGGGGCAGCCACGCCTCTCACCAGCCCTTGAGTAAGGAGGGTGGGGCTTTCCACCGCTGGGAACAGCCAGGGACACGCAGGCCCCACGCCACCTGAGTGAGAGTCGGTGACAGAGGCGGGGGAACCACGCTGCCCCCTGGCCCCTGCTGGGCCCGTCGTGGGAACACTGCAAGTTCGCCACTCTCGCCCCCTCGGGCGGCCCCTGGAGCCAACTCAGAGGCTCACCGGTGGGCGGCTGGGGGCCGTGCCCCAGGGCCTGGCTGCTGCTGCACCCAGGGGCCTGGGCGGGGCGGGGCTCAGGCGGGCACCACCCTGGGAGGGGGGCGGGGAACACTGGTCCTCTGGGGTGGTGCCTCCACCAGTCGAGCGGCCTCGGGTCACCACCCCGCTCTGCTCCTTCCCAGCCCCAGCGCACACAGGGTGCGGGGCGCAGGTGCTGGGCGAGGCTCCGCCCCGGCCTCCCTGCGGAGACACAGGCTCAGGGCTCCTTCTCCCCCTCCCCCGCCCCCCGGGCTCCTTCCCGCCTCTCCTGGCGCCTTTCTCTGGCAACAGCTGGTGTGGGCAGGTGGGCCACCCAGGGGGCAGGGCTGCGGCCAGCAGGGGCCGCCCACCGCCCCCCCTCAGGTGCTGACCGCAAGCTGACACTACGCAGGACAGCCGTTTGAGAGCTCAGAGATGCCGGCGGTCAGTCACCCAGGGCAACCTTCCTGGCTGAGGGGGGCGCATTTCTGGGCCAGCCCCCAGGCAGGGGACGGGTGGACCGAGGGAAGGAAAGGTGTCCCTGTTCACGGAGGGCCTGTGGTCCGGGGGAGGGCGGGGGTGGGGCTGGGGGCTGATGGGGGCTCTGCTCTGTGAGGTCCGATCCAGGCCCCCCCGACCCGCCGGCCTGCCCCCACCCCCGCCGCCCCGGCAGTGAGCTCTTCCTCGGCCAGGCCTTGTGCAAAGGGTCTCGGCGGGGCAGAGCCCTGGCCGGCCGCCAGGTCACAGAGCCGCCCGCCTGTGGGCGGCTGAGAGGTTACTGTGAGTGCGGAGGAGGCGGAACTCGGGGAATCCCTAGTGAGGGAGGATGAAAGCCGTGGGTGCCGGGGGCCACATGGGAGGCCAGCTGGAGGGAGCAGCTGGGAGGAGGCCAGCCCGCCCCTGGGAACAGAGGCCCGGGCTCCCCATCACCACCCCCAGGGGGCCGGGGCTTCGGAGAAATGCACGGAGGGGGCGCTGCCCTGGGGGAGCTGGACACGGGTGCGCGGTGACCCTGGGATCCCTGGTGACCCGGCACCGTCCCCTCTGCTCTCACCAGGGCTGCGGGGAGGAGGCCTTTCCGACCTGCCGCCGCCCCCCGCCTGCAGCCACCGGTCCAGAGTGCGGTTGCAGCCAGCCCACCTGGGGCCCAGCCTCGCCCCCCTGCCCCTGGCCGGCCTGAGCCCCAGAGCACAGGCAGAGGCCCAGGCCACCCCGCGGAGCCCTGGCTCCCTCCGCCCAGGCGCCTGGCCTGAGTCCGCGCTGTGCTGGTGTGTCCGCCGGCTGCCGCTGCACAGCAAATCGCCATATAAACCGGCACCTGTTGGTTATCTCACGGTCTCGCGCGTCCGAGACCCTGCGCTGGACCCCTCCGTGTCGGCCGGGAGGACTTGCGTCTCCTCCGGGGCTGGCCGCCCCCCGCCGGGCCGGCTGCTGGGGGGTCCGGGCCCTGACGGCTGTGGGAAGGAGACCCTGCTCGCCGCTGCTAGGGGTCGCCCCCGTCCGGGGCCGTGAGGGCCCTTCACGGCCTGGCCCTTTGTCCCGTGAGGCCATCGGGGGGGACGTCTCCTGGCCCCTTTGTGGGGGACCCACCACATTGACCGGTTTCCGGCCTAATCCAGGTGCTATCCTCCCCTTCGCAGCCCCTGGCAGCCGGGGCGGGGCACTCGGGGCCGCTAGCCGGGTCAGGCAGAGTCGTGGAGGCCGCCCCGGGCCCGACCTCCCCCTGGGCCTCCCCCGTGTCGCCCGTGCCCACTCCTGGCGTCTTTCGCCTCGAACTCTTCTTCCTGAGGCTCCTCCGTCTGCACTCGTGACGCCCGCGCAGGGAAAGGGGCCAGGCGGCTCCTCCCCAGCCCCGAGCTCCCCGGCGGGAACAGCACCAGTGCTCGGGGGCCCGGGAGTCTGCCCCAGGTTGCACAGTGCCTGACCTCCGGGGCGTGGGAGTCGGACCCAGGGCCCGGCCCCCACTCTCCGACCTGGCGCCGCGTCCCCCCAGCCCGCCCGCCCAGCCAGCGCCACCCCACAGGAAGCTCAGTGACGGACACGAGGGGCCCCGCCCTGGGCCTTCCCGTCGGGGCTTCCGGGAGTCCCCACACGCCCACCTGGGCCCCGCGGCTCCCCCTTCCCGAACACCTGTCCCCCCCACGGCCCTCTCTTGTCCCGGGCTGTCTGCGGCTGGCGGACACCTGTGCGCTGCGAGCCCGCAGCTGTGGCCGCCGGCAGTCCCAGCAGCGACGGGTGGAGGACAGCGCCCGGGGGCTCCCCCCGTGCCCGGTTCTCTCTCCCGCCAGCCCAGACGGGGGAGTGGCCGCTCCCGGCTCCCCGGGAAACGGCAGGCGGTCAGGGCCTGGGCGAGAACAGGCCTGAGGACAAGGGCGTCGACACGTGTTTCCGGCGGCTCGCAGGCCTGGAGGCTCTCGTGGGGGGAGGGGGGGGGCCGCCGGGGGGGCATCGAGGCTGAGGGCAGAAGCGGCCATGCTCAGGGGCTTGGGAAGCCGAGGGTGGCCGTCCACCTCCCCGTCAGTGGTGGTGCCTAATAGATGCCCTGCCTGACCCCGCGAGGCTCCTACACCTTGTGCCAGAGACGGTTCATCACAATGGAAGCTGAGACTCTCCAGGCAGGGCGTGGGGGTGACCGCCTTGAAGCTCCCACTAGGCGGACCACCACCATAGTGGGACCCCCTGTCCGAGCCGAGGGTCGCACGGCTGGCCCACTGACTTGGGCCCCAGGGGTCCTCCCGCTGGGCCGCCCCCCTCTGTCTCAGAGCAGCAG